TAATTAATCTGTTGGTAAAAGCTTTGTTTCTTTGTTATGGAAATATGTGCATTGTTTTGTGTTGTTCAAATCAATTTCTGATGAATTAAAAAGGTTGTATTTTTATGTTATGTTCATGTTCTGCATCATGATCTTTTCCAGAGTGCAAACTCTTTTGTATTTTTAGATAATATATGATAGTTTTTTAGGTTGGAGTTAGGTGCTTTTATGAAGTACTATGCTTGAATTGAATATTTGGATTATATATCTCTGTTGAGTCGAGGGTCTTTCGGAAACAACTTCTCTACCTCCACGAGGTAGTGATAAGGTCTACGTACACTCTATCTTTCTCAAACTCCACTTAGTGGGATTTTATTGGATATGTTGTTGATTGGATATCTCCCTTTTGGAAAAGGAAAACAAATACTAACTTTAATTGTATCATAGTTGATCCTAATTTGGCAATAAAAGTATGTTGACTTTTTGTGGCGGAGTCAAGATTTTCACTACATGGTGTCAGAATATATAGAAGAAAAGCCAAGGGATTCAATGTCTACTATATATACGTAAAATATAATTTTGACTGGTGTAATTTTCTAGAGAAGAGGGTTCGAATGAACCGCTTTGCCCCTCTTAGCTCATCACCTATTGACTTTTCCTTTCTTGCATCTTTCTTTCTATCCATAGGTCGGTTTCGCGCAGATAGATCATTGCCAGGGGAGATTGGTGCCCCTTGAGGTATGCCCTTCCGGTGCAACTGAATACTTTATTTATGTAAATCTTGTTCATGAGGTTGATGATCATTTTTTAGTAGTTAGGATTATGTATGGGATGTTTAGATGGCTGGAATTCTGTGGCGTTCAATAGCTTATGGATTCTCAGGAAGGAATTTATTTGGTGTTTGGACTAAAAAATTCCGGTAGCAGCACGATAATGCTATTATAAGAGTCTTAATTAAGTTTCGATCAGCTAGAATTTCTGAGTATCTTTGAATTGTCACGCGGTGAAATAATGCCGAAGAACTTAAATGTACATGGGGAAAAATGAATTAAAACATCAATAACTAAAGATACTTGCATATTAATTTTCAGAGATGGATTTTGTGGAGTTGAAGAGACGGAGCAGCACTTCTAGGAGACTGCTCTTGCTTGCTGGCATTGCTGCAATTTGTTTGTTTATATTCAGAAATTCATCGAGTTTTAGTACCTCCGTCAAGGTGATAATTAGATCATGTCTTACAGTATTTACTTCACTATGAACAACTATTTTACAGTCCAAACTTACAATATATGTTTTAAGAATCTGGTGGTAATAGGCAATCCAAATTTGTTATTTTCAGTTCTCCCAGCACGAACCAGGTGTAACTCATGTGTTAGTGACTGGAGGTGCTGGCTACATTGGTTCTCATGCTTCCCTTCGTCTCCTAAAGGATTCGTATCGTGTAACTATAGTGGTATGCCCCCCCTTTTACATTTCAGACTCCGTTCAGGAGAATCAAGTTTTGGATGTTTGTTTTAACCATGGTTTTTTTTTTCTGATAGGACAATCTTTCCCGTGGAAATATGGGCTCGGTAAAAGTTCTCCAGGAACTTTTCCCTGAACCAGGGCGACTTCAGTTTATTTATGCTGATTTGGGAGATGCTGCTGCTGTATCCTGGATAATTTCTTTTCTTCTTTCGTGTTTTAGCTTCACAACTTATCTCCACTTCTAGTCTCTCTGTAGCGTTTTTCATATTGCTTCAATTATCGCCAGGACTTTTGATCCTTAACAGACGCCTTAGGTTAACAAGATCTTTTCACAAAATGCATTTGATGCTGTGATGCATTTTGCAGCTGTTGCATATGTTGGTGAAAGTACTCAAGAACCACTTAGGTACTTCTCGAATTATGAACCTCAAACTCTGTTGATTGGTCTTTCAGTTCGATGCATCTTCTAGCTACCTGAGAATGATAACTTTATGATTTAAAACAAAATTGTTGATCCTAGCTTACAACTAAATGCACAAGTCATAAATAAACTTTTTTCCCCAACTTATTCCTTGTTTTCGAGCTCTTCTTATATTTACGCATTTCTATGTAAGAGACGTACTGCAGTTTTTTATTTCCGTTTTTTGTCTGTCTTGTAATACTCTTTGAATACTTTGCAGGTATTATCATAACATCACATCAAATACTCTGCTTCTAGTTAAGGCAATGGCAGCACACGGTGTAAAGACACTAATCTATTCAAGTACCTGTGCAACATATGGAGAGCCTGAGAAAATGCCTATTACGGAAGTGACTCCACAAGTCAGTAACACTATTATTTACTTTGTTACGAACTTCATAGTTATATTGATGTTTCATTGGTAGTCTACGTCGTAGTGGAACAAGAGTTTGTTCCATTAGACATTTTTACATGTTTGGAATTTTGTTTATTGATTCTACTGTTTAACTGTGAATACAAACAGTCCCCAATAAATCCATATGGAAAAGCAAAGAAAATGGCTGAAGATATCATACTGGACTTCTCAAAGACTTCAGATATGGCTGTCATGATTTTAAGGTTTGTGCTTTACTCTTTCGTTATCTTGAAAAGGGACAGTCAGCTGCAATGACTTTAGGAATGGTTTCGGTTCACCAACATGAGCAATGTCCGAGCACCTTTCATAATAATGCTAAGTAATAAGTAACCTTGAGAGTTTTCTGTGCCGGTGAACCTAAGTGTATTTCATCTCTTTGTACATGTACATTTGTCAGTGCTAGTATATATCTGATGTTCTACCATATACTATTCAGGTACTTCAATGTGATTGGCTCGGATCCTGAAGGAAGGTTAGGAGAAGCTCCACCCCCAGAATTACGTGAGCAAGGTCGGATATCTGGTGCTTGTTTTGATGCAGCCAGGGGCATAATTCCAGGATTGAAGGTAAGCTTTAATAATTGAATTGCTGAATGTTGCATTTCAAAAACAGGCACAGCATTATTGTTTATGTCTAAACGGAACGTAAAACTAAAATCTTTATATGGTGACTGCAAGATAAGAGGAGTAGATTACACCACACCCGATGGCACTTGTGTAAGAGACTATATCGATGTGACTGACCTAATTGACGCTCATGTTAAAGCTCTCGAGCATGCTAAACCTAGCAAAGTTGGCATCTACAATGTTGGGACTGGAAAAGGTGCATGCACGGTTACTTTCTACTTACTACTCATAAACTATGTTTTGTTGTATAGCTAGCGCTACACGAGAAGTGATTTTGATGATCAAATATATTACAGGTAGTTCAGTGAAACAATTTGTGGAAGCTTGTAAAAAGGCAACAGGAGTTGACATAAAGATTGAATACCTTAGTAGACGTCCAGGAGACTACGCTGAAGTCTACAGTGATCCTTCTAAAATTAGACGTGAACTGAACTGGATCGCCAGATATTCACTGGAGGAGAGTTTAGCAATAGCATGGAGATGGCAAAAGGTACACAGAAATGGTTACAACTAAAGTGATTGCAGTTTTGCTAACCAGAGAACCTTAACGTGTTGTCGAGGAAAACAGGATTGGTTTTTTGCCAATTCTCACAACGCCTTGTCAATATCAGATACCAAATCTCATTTTGTTATTTATAGCTATTACAGTTTGCTAGATGTATACCAACAAATAATTCTTGTTCATCAATAGGCATTTTAATTCCCAAGTGTATTGCAATATTGGATAACAAAAGTGTATGTATACATGAGAGACAACAAAATTGCCGCTGGGGAAATGAATATATTCACAGTTGATTCTATGCCATTTTTTGTTTTGTTTTTAAATTCTATGACTAATCAAATTGTGTGTCTTCATTTTATATCTTCTTGATCCATCTTAATTTATATTCACAATAATTTAACCTTAATATCAAACGATTAATATTTATATCTCAATTTTTAAATAATTAGGTTTCTGATATCATTGAATCAGTCGTTTTTCACTCCAAAAGAAAAAATCTCGACTGAAAATCATAAATCAAGCCACATAAATGAAGCGAACTTTTGGATATAAGAATATAATATTTAACAAAACATAATATTTAAAATTAAGTTTTTATAAAAAAAATATATATATATTAGAAAATTAAAGTTATGTTTGAACATGAATTTAACCTGAGAAAAAGAAAAAGAAAAATTAAAATTGTGAGTGGAAAAAAATTTCACTTGAAAAAATGATTAAAACTATTGATTTGAACATGAAACTCATCTTCAAAATTTAAAAACCAGTCCAATATATAATCAAACGCTATTTTCTTAACTTAGATCTCAAAAAAAAAGAAATGGGATAGTTTCGCGTATATACGACCAACTCAACTAGTTTGCAGATAATGTAGACTACTTCATTTCTACATAAAAATGGCCAAAAGGCCAAAAGTATCTGGTTGTTACTACCCAAACTCCAACCAGATTTTTTTAAGATGTCTGCTGCGGATACTTCCTACGGTTTACAGGTGAGAGAAGAGAGCACCACATCAAGTCAATATCAGTAGAAAGAGATGCTTCTAACTAATTATGTATGAGCCTTAAAGGAACTCCATTCTCTTTGATCCCTTTCCGGAACCAGCCCTAGACTTCCTCTCTTGAACATTTTTCGGGGCTGCTTTTTCAATTGCAAGTACTAGTACATCTAATTGGTTCTTCAGTGGATTGGCGAACATAGAATTTAGAATGGAACAATAAAGAAATATAAGAACATGATTGTCGACTTATGGATCATCTACACACATGCTAAGAAAAAGTACGCCTTCCAATTCTCATCTCTTAAACACGAGATATTTCTTCCAATTTTGTGGAATGAGATACTTCACCAACGACATTTTTAAGACTTTGAATGAGAGCAGTTAAATTCTAGTGCAAAGCTCGTAAGCCCAGCATATCCAACGTTGAATTCTCTGTCGTAAAAGGGGAAACGAAAGGGAAGCCCAGCAACAAAGAACGTTCATTGTTGCCTGTATAGATTCTCAGAAATTAGAAATATGTAATTTCAAGGGCAGGAGGGTGGCAAAAGGTATTCAAAGGAGGAGGAGCTAACAAAATTCTATTCTGCAGCCAATAAAATGGCACATGAATATGTTCCCAATGTTCTACTTTAATATTGTGATACAGAGAATGCTGATCAAGTGTAAGATCCCTTAGCATGTACTTTTTGAACCCGACACTGCCCGGAGAGTGAGGACTTCCAAAGCATGGCAAGAAAAAGCATCCTATGGAGAAAGATGGGTTCACTCAGTATATACTCTACAATTAATTTGCATATAATCTAGCCTTTGATGTGTCGTTGTAGGATAATAATCATAACTCATCATGATCCGACTTTTCATCTGCGGATGCCTTCTCTGTCTCTGCAGCTGTTTGTTCTTTCTGGGAGGTACCCTCCTCAGAAGAGGATTTGGTAGTGTCTGCTTTCTCCTTGCTGTTTTCAGTTTCATTTTTCAAAGGCTTCTCAACCTTAGGCTTTGGCTTTGGTATTTTATTTACCTTGTTAACCTAATCCATGAAAAAGAGAGAGAGGATCAAGCACTGAAAGATAAAGCTTCATGCCTGGAATGAGTTGACTACCAATTTCTTGTTCAACTCTATCACTAGACCAAATTAACGAAGATTTAGATCACGCACCTTGTCTTGAAGATCAAAAACCTTTACATATACTTCTTCAGAAGTAAACGCAGGCTTATCAGATCCAGGAGTGCTGTAGGAAAAGAAAAGGTGTTAAAACAGAGTGTATGAGAAAGGGGATAAAAAGGTTAGGAATATTTTCAGTTTCAAAAATAGAATAAAATTTTCTTAAAACAATATTATAGAATAGAGTGGACTTTCTTATACTTGCAAGCCAGACCACTGGGATATATGGGAAATAATTTTTATACCCATGACCTGATAATATTATATGTATTTTTTCTCCAGAAATATTAGGTATTACTATATGGATCATTTTATTTTTTTTGGGGGAGAACCAGCCAGCAAATGATATTTTATATTATTTTGCCACCAGAAATTCTAGGTACTGCTGCTCTAGCCACCTCCCTACAATAGGGTTCAAACTACAGCTAACCCACACATCATGTGATGGGTCCTTGCCACTGAACAAAATCCCCAGGGGGGAACATTCTTAGAACACCCATTTTCTTCGTTTTTCTGGTCTTCCCATGCATCTTCATTCTAAGGTCCCAATTGAATAGGGCAAATGTTAAATGAAAAAACTACAAAGTTCCACCTTTCTCCCTCCTAATTCGGTTGAACGAAATACAGAACCAAATAAGAACACACAAACACATGTATATACAAATTGCAAATGTTCAAATCAAAGTGTATATGCTTCAACACACACACAAAATCCACTAGATTTATTCTTTACAGACGGTATATCAGTCAGTATCACTTTTGGGAGTTCAATGGCTCAATAGTTTAATGAACAATATGTTCCAAAAGGAAAACAACTTGCTATGTTCACTGGTTAAATTAAAAGCGGTAGCGGAAACAAACAGAGTAAGTACGAAAAGAAAAAGGAGAGAGGCAATAACATGGAGAGTGAACACACAAATGACCATATGAAAATAGGAAAAAGGTAAGAGAAATGAGAAGGAAAAAGAACTTACTCTTTCTGTTCAGCCTCCTTCTGATTTAACCATTTCTTCACTTTCTCAGCTTCATTTTGAACCTGCAAATATGACCCCTTTTAAACTTCCCAGTACGAACATAAAGAAGAGATATCTTAGCTTCTATTGTATCAAAATAGAAATATGCACAACAGCTGAAAAGAGTACCTCATCTATTTTTCCCTTAGGAAGCCATGATTTGTTGGTTTCCCATCCACGCACAATCTGAAGGTATCCAAGAAAGAAATAAAAGGTAAACTGCAAGGGTCAAAGGCAATAAAGGATACAAAACTTTCCTAGCTGGCTAACAGCTTTGAAAATCACAGAAGGATTATTGCAAAGGAAGCCGGTTAATAAGTTCAACATCAACAATGTAACTGAATCTTCTGCTAATGCCAAAATGACAGTTATAGTACCAAATGTGAAATCATTGAAAACAGATGCAGGTTAATATCAATTTCATCCATACGTCTTCTGCACTTCAGATCTAGAAAATACCCATGGCAATTATCACCTCAAACATTGCCTCAAAGCATGCAGCTTATTTTCCCACATCCCCGCTTGAAGAACTTCAGTGCCAACTTACAGTTTGATGTGCTGGTGCTAACTAGTAATTTTTCTTAAACATACTAATTTCGCCATTTCCTTCAGAAAACAAACAAACAGATACTCCCTCTGTTTCAGTTTGCTTGACTTAGTTTGACTCAGCACGGAGTTTGAGGAAAAAAAAGAACTTTGAATCTTGTGGTCTTAAACTAAATATATGTGTAATGTACCAAAATGCCCTTTGATTTTGTGGTCTTAAATATGCCATCTATGATATTGGGTGTAAAGAGTGACTAAATAAAGAAAGGCATTCTTTTTGAAACAGATCTAAAGCAAGACAAACAAATTGACACGGAGGGAGTCCTATTTACTGTCCACCTATCTATAGATACCACCATAACACAAATAAGACACTCTTTCAAACTTACATTCTGCACTTCATGATGCAAAGAATTTGACCAAACAGAGCAGAAGAGTGTTACTGGAACAAGAAATTAAACTTCCTACCTGTTGCACTTCATTAAGGTATTTGTGAGCATGATCAGATGCAGCAGGGCGTGCAGTAAGTTCTTTATGTCTGCACAAAAAATTACATTCAACATAACTACCTAACCTTGTACAAAAAGTAACTACACTTTAGCCTTTGAGTTCAGTTGATACTAGGAGCAGACCTGAAAAATATGGGATCCCCAATAGCTTTCAATTTATCTAAATGCTCTTGAAACTGGGTGGCAGAAGCATCTTCACCATCTGTGTACAACCATTCTTGTACCTGAAAAACTCCATTTAGTATATTTACGATAAACACATATGACAAACCATGGAAAAAAGGAAATAGGCAAACCTCATCAAGTTTCTCAATAAAGGACTGGCGCTCTTGACTGGTTGATATTTTCACAAAATCTCCAGATTCAAGCTGGTACATGAGCACATTCAACAATAAAAAAAGAAAGATAAAGTGATCTATTAATCAGTTCCATGTGATCAATCAGCGAATAAAAATGCTGGTGCAAAACAGCGATGCCACTGGAAGCTAAATGATATAAAGTGCATTACAAGAAGAAAAAGAGGCCAAGAAGCTAAGAGCGATCCACAAGGTTACAACATCTAGGAAACAATATCACCAGAGCAACAGAGTAAGTTCTGCATCTGTGTATATGTTTCATCTGAGGGCTCAAAAGCATCAGTTTAACAAAAGGATATTTCAGGAGAATCTTGAAGCATGGGTATGTGCTTAAAAACTGTTGCAGGAAAGATTTGTCTAGCTGCAAAGCAGTTACTCTAAGTTAGAGGAAAACACATATCAACAAATCGAACAAGTGTATGCAATTGGAACGAAAAATAGGAAAATCAAGAATACACATAAGGCATTCTAGTTTCCAGAGCTGACCGGATCAGGTGTCTACATAATCACAAGCATGGGCAAGAGTTAGTGATATAAGCCCTCAAACCTTGTCTCTTGTATCATATATGTATCCTTCCAAGCTATTCTTCAATTCAGCCGTTCTTCTTCTTTCTTCGTCTTTTTTGTCCAGTGCTTCCAATTTCCTTTTAGATTCACTAAAAGATTCTTTTGAAAGAGGTGCTCCTGGCCCAGTAGTCTTCTCATCAATCTACATGAACAAAGACATCTCAAGGATAAGACTGGTTAAAAACATCATAACACTACGATATTTCTAAAATAACATTTTTCCCTGGCACCTAATGGCAATCGATAAAGAAGGGGATGAAAAATAGATTCCCCAGCAGATGGTTAAGTTTAGAAGACCTTAAGTGGAACTCGGAAAGTCCGTTTCTTCAGCTTCTTCTCTGTAACGGGACTTATGGTGCTAGAATCATTTGTACCAGGATCAGAGGTGTTACTATTAACAGTGTCCGTATTCAACTTTTCATCGCTTTCCTCTGTACTAGTGGGGCCACTTTCAGTTGATGTGTTCACAGAAGCAGAGGTCGAGTTGTCCACTGTCAGATTCTTTAGTGGAACTTCGACCCATTCAGTTATTTCAATAACAGCATCTGCTCGATCTAATGAAAATATTCCACTTCTACTAAGTGAGAAATGTAAATTAGCCTTGACAGGGGCAGAAAGATTCCGTGATGCATACCTAAAAATAGGAAAAGCACAAAACTCAGAATAATAGATCACCAAACACCATTCGATCCAGATATCAGTGATTCTTACTTCTCGCTGGCATCAGTAAGACCTGACACTGCATACTGAGCAAATGTACGTGAAGTAGTTCCAGGTGGCAAGAAGTCATCGCTTTCATACGCTAGTGAAACTTCAAAATCCTTTTTGTGAACAATAGATCTGAACATCTGCAGATCGATCACACGATGGGACATAAAACTGTCATGTGTTAAGTATGTTCCTTAATAACCTATTGTTCACCAACAATATACAGTCAAAACAAATATTTTGATATACCTTGCTAGGTAGTTTCTTCATACGTGGTATGGTCAACTGTTTGGTGCTTTCATCTTTAGGAAGATCTGGACCATCTACTTCAATCACATATCCATATGGAGAACCATCAATCATTCCCAATTTACGATTCAATTTGATTCCATCACTTATATTAGCAGCATGCAATGATGCCCCAAGTGTAATTGCTTCATCGGAGTCCAAGTGTCTGTCCAGTTCTTTCCTTCCAAGAAATTCCTGCAGCTTAGCCTGCAATCGAGGAATGTAAATTTTATTTTCAAGAAAACAATTAGTGTTCTCACAACTCCTAAATCGATCATGATACAAGCAATGATGTCTAAATCAACATTGACTCGACTGCAGATAAAGATAATGCTACAGATTCGACGGCAAGAAACTCCACCAGCCAACAAGAAAACATTTATTTTATCCTTATTATAGTAAGTCATTAGCAACCAAACACTTACCTGGTGTTTACAAGTATATGACAACTGCAAATATGTATATTTTTACTGTGGTTAGTAGACCTAGACCTTAACTTTGTTAAGAAAAGGGCAGTGACTCAGACCTGCAATTTTGGCACCCTAGTGGCACCTCCAATCAACTCCACTGCATAAATGTCTTCTATTTTCAAACCAGAATGAGTAAGAACTTCCTTCAATGGTACAAGAGCTTTTTCCCACAAATCGGCACATAACTCTTCAAACTTCTCACGGGTTATTGAGCTCCTGCGACAAAATAAATTCCTGATGAGCGAATAAATGAAAAACAAGTGAAAAATACTAGTTGAATATCACTCTTCTGCCTCTTCCAGATTTGTATGCAAGCCAGGACATACACATAAGTCACACATAAGAGGAAGAGTACTCCTATATGTATTAGATAGCAACACTATTCATGCGGGAGCAGAACTTTCTTATGAAAAACGGAATTGAGCATTTGATCATGTCAACTAGAGATAAACATAATCCGTGTCATATTAACTAAAAATATGAAGAAACACGTGCAAACATGGGGAAACACAAAAGAGAAACAAATAATTTACAGAGCACTGCAGTTTGATGTATTTCCCCAGAGAATCAGTTTTAAATTAATAACATAAGTTATACAGCACAGAATCAGAGGGAATGAGACAGCATCAACTTTCAACTACACCTCGCCCTCAAGCCCTATTTCACCTTTCACATATGCCATTTTATATAAGAATAGAAGCATTTTCTTCATTATTCTGTTCGCCTTTTCAAAATTCTTAACTCTCTCATAAGCTGAACAGCTGATCCTTCACCTCAACTACATGTGTTAATCATTATTACATGCATCTCATGTTAAATTTTGAGTAACCAAAAGTTCTGAAAAGTACACAAAATAGAAACAATCACAGGGACAAAAAAATGTAAAATTAAGTAAAGTTGCATTTGTGTAATCCCATAGCAAGATCAGCTTGAGAAATAAAATGGCAGTAGAAGTGTTTGACCAAACCCTATCCCAGGATTTGGATCAATTTATTTTAATGAGGCTTACTTCATGCACAAAGTGCTAATTCCCTGATTTGGGGTTAAGGGTATAGTGAGTGTAACCATATAGGGTTACACTTCTATCTAAGCAAGAGATTTCTTTGGCCAATTTTTCTTGCTTAGGCAAAGTTGATATTAGACCTAGCCTGGTCCAAAATATCTCTGGCAAGCTACAGTGGTCAAGGTGCCAAAAGTAGGACCTGGCCCCTATGTGCCGATTAATAATTCATCTCAGGGTACATGAACTTCTCAAATGTACCCTAGATTTAGTGAAAGGCTGAAAAAATGAAAAGAAATTGAAACAGTAATGCTTAAATTTAAAAGAAGCAGTTACAGCAAGAGCCTATTCCTTTGAAAAGTAGCTTCATCCCATGTCAAGCACATGGACTCAAATCTCTTGTAGTGTTCATCACAAGCAAAACATGAAATAGCATAGCTTGTGGCCTGTGGGTATACAGTACTAAGTCTCACCCAGAATCAGCATAAAATTTCCCCAAGCCTTACCTATAGTAGACAGGATTATTCTGATCATCTTTCTCTGGATAAGGTGAAATCTTTCACTTATTAACAGCACATAGCAGAGCTAAAGATAAATTTCAGAACTAAAACTACCAACTAATTGATGAACTACAAGAAAACAAGAAAGCATGTGGATAAAAAAGGGACAACAAACTTACCTAAAATCCCGATCATCATAAATAGATTCAACTGAAATTGGAGCTGCTGTGTTTGCACTAAGAATTTCCTTTGTTCGTTTGACTTGCTTCTTCAACTTTGCCATTGCCTTTGGAGACTTCCTTATGTCAACCCCATTTCCTACCTGTTTATTGAACTCATCTGCAAAGTGCTCCACCAATCTTAGTTCCATATGTTCTCCTCCCAGCTCCGCATCCCATCTAACATCCTTGACCTGAAATTGGTTAGCTGATACAGTCTTCCCAAACTCCTTAGTATTATAAGCAGAGAAATACACCAAGGCAGCATATGTACTACCCGCACCCATATCATAGAAAATCACATGCCTTGAACCATTAGAAAAATCTTTATCAATCCCATACTGCAACGCTGCACCAGAATGTTCATTCACAAGCGCCAACACATTAATACCAGCCAATTCCGCAGCAACAAGCAGCCCTTTCCTCTCCGCTACTCCCATATACGGAGGCACAGTCACCACAGCATCCTTCACCGGTGTTCCCCTAGTATGCGCTTCCGCCAATCCAAGAGCATACTTGAACAACATCGCTACCAACTCCTCCGCCGTAAAATTACCATTTTCAGTTTTAAAAACCGCCACATTCCGCGATTCCTCGGGAGAAATGTCGTAACTCAGGTAAAGAGATTCTAGGGTTTTGGAAACGTGGGAAAAGGGTTTTGATATTAGATCACGGAGATGAGAATAGACCTTGTTTGGATAACGAGCGACGATTCCAGAAGCTTCTTCACCGATGAGGCGACTCCCGGAGTGAAATGCGACGAGTGAGGGAGTTTTCCGTTTGGACATTTCGTTAATCGCTATAGAGATTGGAGGTTGTCCGGGTTTTAGGTTAACCACGGCGACTTTGAACCATTCTGATCCCAGATCTATGCTGGAAACTGCAGATTGAGATGGAATCGGATTGAGCAAAAACAAGGATAGGAATATCCCTAACCGAAACAACATATGCTTCGCCGGCATCGGATAATCGGAGTTAATAGGACAAAGATCTCCGGTGAAAATTCAAAAATTGGGAAGACGAAATTTCAGCAGCAGAAGAACTTAGGATATATATACCGTTGGGGCTACAGGTGGAAAGTGCAGCTACTGACCAATAAGAATTTGACATGTGGAATAATGTACACGTGGCGTGATATGTGACGCCGGGTGTGTTGGTTTTTGCTGTTGGCGTGGCTGCGTCACAGAATTTTTGAAGTTTCTAGGGAGTTCCCATTATTATTATTTTTTCTAGGGACAAATTTGCAAAAGTTTGTCGGGTAATAATAAGTAGTACTTACAAGTTTGTTTTTTTTTAGTTTGATAAAAACTGGAAATATCCCAAATATCAAGAGCAAATTTCATGTAACACACTAGTATATGGCTTGAAGAGATAGTTTCAAAAATTACATATTTTTATTCGAGTTTTAAATTAGATATATTGTATTGAAATGTGATTTACATGTATCTGATTATTATCTTTCTCGCTCGTCTTTAATTTGTTCTCTCTTACTTGATCACTTTTTATATCGTTCCTCTCTTTTTGGTATTTGTGTTTACATTTCATGTATGTATATGTGTATTCAATATCAATTTCTAAGAGTTTTTTCGTTAGAACTAGAGTACATGTATCAGACTATTTATGCATAAGCTTGTATTAATTCTTTCTATGAGTATATATCCATGTATCCGGTATCAATTTTGAAAGCATGCATGTATATATGTATGGATTATTCATGTATCTAATATCAAATATGCGCTGATATATCAAGTGTATATGTGCATAAATATATACTTAGAAGAAGAAGAAAAAAAGACCATAACAATAATATCATTCTTGTTGACTTTCAAAAATAAGTACTCATATCTTATTTCAAATTTAATCAATCAAATATTGACTTGCAATTAATTAATAACACGATCAAGCTTGACCATAAACATGACTAAAGAAGAAGGAAATTAAGGAGGAGGAGGAGAAGATGAAGATAGAGAAGGAGAAGGAAACAAAAGAGTGAAGAGAAGAAACATGCGAGAGGGAGGACGAAAGAGGCAAGAGAGAAGAGTAATAAGGAGGAGAGAGTTTATGCAATCCGCTAGAAAATAGTGTGTGATTGTATCATTTTTTAAAAGTTGTGTGTAGTTTAATAGATATACTATAGATATTTGGTGATATATGTAATTTTTCTAATATTAACTGAATTTCGGAATCAATATTCGTGAAAAAGACAGCACAGTCTTCCGGAGTGTTCTGAGGTACTAGGTTATAGTATCCCTATTTTTAAAAAAATTATCTATCAAAGAGAACAAATAAAGACCCTCACAGAAATTCTTGTAAAATCTTTTTGGAATATTTACAAAATTGAATCCCAATAATATACTATTAAATAAGTGAAAAATAATTCTAGCAATTAAGAAAACGAATATACTAAACATAGGATCTTCTAAATCTTAGGATGAAAGTTCCAAAATATTCTCTACTAAAATTGTGCCATGCTTATTTTCGAGCTATATCTTCTTCTTTTTTAATTTGTATTGCAAATACTCCACACAATTTGGTTTTCTTGATGAATATACTAAAAGTGATTGAAAATTGATGACTTATTTTTGTGTAAGAAAAGCTTTGTTAATTACTTCTCTTTTAAAAAATATTTTTCCCTCTCGTGGATTCGATCTATTTGTAATATTTAAACACCTTTAAATGAAAGAATATAATAAAAGAGAAAGAAATGTCAAGATTCATAGCAACAAAAGATATGCATTTCGAATTGACTTGTTTTGAAATTTATAATTGATTTTCTAGATTAAGACATAATTTGTTTTCGTTAAAATTAAAATGTTTGAATCTAAATGCATATTTGAATATCAAAGTGTACATTAAGATTCAGAGGTCTGAATCTGAATATTAAGATATTGCATAATCTGAATACTAAGTAGTTAAGGCGCTTTATTTTCTCAACAATGTATAAATTTTATCTTTGTTTATATAAGATTGAAGTGTCAAAACACACATAAATTACTGAGAGTATGAGTTTCATACATAAACTAACACTCATTAGTTTAAAAACATACAACTCTTTTATTACACTCTTGATAGGGTCAGGGACGCCTCAACAAGTTTGGGGCCTAAAGCCAAACTTCATAGTGAGACCTTATTATTTTTTTAGTTGTCTTATATAAATTGAATAGTTATAAGATACCCAATGTAATCTTACAAGTGAAGTCTCGGGAAGGTAAGATATACACAGATCTTATAAAGTAAGAATGCAATAATTAATGAAAAATTTCAATAAAAAATATAATATAGAGTTAGAATAATAAAATCCAACTCACAAATTAAAAAATAATAATAATGATATTGAAATAGTTGCTTTGAATTTGATAAGTTGATACAATATCACGATCCAAAACGAGTCATGAGTGTCACCCTCACTTAACCTTCTAGGTGGCGAACCAACGAATTCAAACCCCAACTAATATAAATTGTTCAACTTACGAAATACAACCATAATGTGAAAACTCAAAAACTTATTAATGTAAGAAACAAATATTCACTAGAGTCTATTAAATATCGTTTCCCAAAACCTGAAAGTCATCACACCAAGGACATCTAATTCAAAAATACCAAGTCATAGAGTATTAAAGACACCAGAATAAATAAATAAAATATTTTGTGTCCGAAAACAAAGGATATCATGTCATGACCGAGAGAATCCAACACGAGATAGAATGAATAACTCACTATGGAACCTGATATGATGGAGAATGGCTAGAGCTGAGGGCGAATCGAAGTCGCTAGTACACTTGTTGCACTCCACAAAGGAAACAAAGAAAATACAAGTAGGGGTTAGTACAGGGGAACATGTACTGAGTAGATATCATTGACCGACTCAAAATAGAAACCAATATGCATAAAGTAATAACATGAAATCAACTATAACTCTTAGCAAGTGGCAAACAACAAACAACATGAACAAATGACAACAATATTGAAGCTAGTACGTAATTAGTCACAATATCAAGAACACACATGAGGACTCATTCCTCCACATCACGATCTTTTGGGAAATGAGCTCTTTGAGCTTGAGTACATTAAGTTATTTTAATATGTTTTTATTTAATGTTTCTATTCGGAACGTGACACCCGATCCAATCATATTGTGTCGCCTTGTGCCACCCGATCCAAATATATCGTGTCGTCTCGCATAATATTTTTTTTCATTTTTAACCCTCCCCGCATAGACCCGCTCCGCATGAACATACCCCACATAATTTTTTAAATATTTATTTTCTAGTTAAGTTTAATACTAAAAATAAAATTTATAAATTCATTTTTTCATTAAGTTGTATTAATTTAATAGGATTGTGACTTAAAATTTTATTTTTAGAGGTCAATTGGGAAACATGTAAGAAATTTAATTATTTTTTTATTGAATCATTTTCATTTACTATCTTGAATATTTTAGTAGTTTTAAAGAAGTTATCTAAATAAAATAATGTTCTATCACTCTTATAACATGTGAAAAAAATTAAAATTAAGTTTAAACCCACATAAAACCACATATACCCGCAATCCGCCCCGCATCCCACCCGCCCCACCCGCATAGCCTTAAATCTGCCCTACCCCGCATCTGTCCCGCCCCGCCCCGCCCCATTGCCATCCCTATCACGAGTGGTACCCACACTTAACCTTCCAGGTGGAAGAACCAACGAATTCAACCCTAATTTATATTAATTGTTCAACTTACGAAATACAATCATAATGCGAAAACTCAAAACTTATTAATGTAAGAAATAAAAATCCACTAGAATTTATTATATATTGCTTCTTAAAACTTGAAAGTCATCACACCAAGGATATCTAATCCCAAAATGTCAAATAAAAGTATTAAAGACACAAGAATAAATAAATAAAATAGTTTGTGTCCGAAAACTAAGGACATTATGTCATGAACGAGATAATCCAACATGAGCTAGAATGAATAGCTCACCCTGGAACCTGATGTGCTAGAGACTGGCTAGAGCTAAGGGCGAGTCGAAGTCACTGGTATACTTAATCCACTCCATAAAGGAAAACAAAGAAAATACAAGTAGGGATCAGTGCGGGCTGACTCAAAATAGGAACCAATATGCATAAAGTTATAGCATGAAATCAACTATAGCACTTAGCAAGTGGCAAACAACAAACAACATGAACAAGTGACAATAGCAATGAAGCAAATACATAATTAGTCACAATATCAAGAACACACATGAGGACTCATGCATGCCTCCACACCACGCTCTTTTGGGAAATAAGTTCTTTGAGATTCAGTACAGTAAGTATTTTAATATGTTTTTCTTTAATGTTACTGTGCCGGAATGTGACACCCGATCCAATCATATTGTGTTGGCTCGTGGTTGGCACCTGATCCAAATATATTGTATCGGCTTGTGGCACACAATCCAACAATATAATTAAGTCCTCATTCTGGATCATCACTTTCCACTTCATTAACAAGATTTCATCAAACCTTGTTTATCCAAGGCATCACTTTGATAGAGCAAGTTCAAGATTATGGATTTCACGGTCTTGAGATTTCAGCCCAATCACAACGACACATAAATTATTCAAACCACAACAATTAAGTACATATAAAACTCAGCATTACTTTATGACTATCAATCACTATTAAGTGTTTCTCTATCACATATAATAAACCAAGTCAAGCAAGATAATTCCTAATGTTTTTTTCTTTCCTCAATGCCTCAGAACGTTTCTATCTATCAAGTATACAATATTTATAAGCAAGCGAGTTCGTAGACACTCATATTACTATATATCTAGCCTTAACTCAATAACCTACTCAAATCTATAATCAATTTTCAAATCTTGAGGTCAATTAATATGTTAAGTCTCTTATTTCTTAAATTTCATGCCTATTGTTAAGTTTCGATTCCTCCAATATCATAAATCTAATGGTATTCATATAATACACTACACCTAATATTTAATTCCTTATCTCAGTATATCAAAACTTAAATCATATATTGATAACTATAAAAAA